AAAGAGAATATATAGTGTGTTGGATTGGTCCAGACGCTACAATTCCTAACTTGATTTTTTGTTGTTAGACCCCTAGAGTCAAGCTATGCATTCACCTTCACTTCATCTTTGTTTCCAAATGCAATGACTTCAGTTTTCTCCTTGTTTAACTGAAGAATGTTCTGGCACATCCAACTGTTAATTTCATCAATGCATTGGCAGAGGGAGTCAATGGGGCTGTAGTCATTTGGAGATAAGGCTAGGTAAATCTGGGTATCATCAGCATAGCTGTGATAGGCAATTTGGTTCTTTCTCATTATTTGACGTAGTGGGAGCATATACAGGCTAAACAAGAGCAGTGCAAGAATTGAGCCTTGTGGGACTCAGCATGTCATAGACGTCCACTTAGACTTATGCTCTCCTATACTCACATAATAACCTCTCCCTTCTAAGTATGACCTGAACCATTTGATTACCATCCCAGAAAGCCCGACCCCGTTTTGGAAGATTTGTCAGTCTCTCAACAGTAGCAAAAAGTGTGCGAGTGTTGTTTAAGTTACTGTTTATAAGGTTTGAGAAGAAGGTCTATCTAGCTATGGCTAGTTCCACATTGAAAGCATGAAGGCTGTCTTTATAGATGCTATAGTGATTCTTCCACCACATCCGCTCAGATTTTCTGCATTGTCTTTTCGTACTCTCTACTGCTGTTGATTTTCTCCAAGGTGATTTTTGTCTGCCAGTCTTCTTATTGACTTTTACAGGAGCAATATCATCAATAACATTCTTAACTTTTGAGTTAATGGAATCAAGGAGAAGATCAACAGAGTCTGCAGAAATGCTTGGTGTTAAAGATATAGCCTCCATAAATAGCACACTAGTGTTTTCGGTAATGCATCTCTTTCTGACAGAGACAGATCTACAGTAGATTTAGTGGTAACAGAGATCAATATATCAAAGAAAATACAGAAGTGATCAGATGGTGCTACATCCTTGATTACAATGGATGAAATGTTTAGACGTCAACTGATGATTAAATCTAGATCTAGGTCTATAGTGTCCACGATTGTGTGTGGGTTCATGCACATGCTGAATAAGGTCAAAAGTGTTAAAAATAGTTATTTCTTTTGAAGTTGTGATTTCTGCATTATCTATGTGAATATTAAAATCCCCTGCAATGGCAAAACAGTCAAACTCTGAGGAAATCATTGATAACAGTTCTGTGACCTCTTCAACAAAGGCTGGAGAGTATTTTGGAGGCCTGTAAATAATGATAAACAAAATGTGTGGAGCACCTTTCAGCACAATCCCTAGATATTCAAAAGACAAGTACTGACCAAATGACACTTGCTTGCATTGATAGACATCTTTAAATAGAGCAGCTACACCTCCACCTCTCCTAACAGTCCTGCGGACACTCATGAAAGTGAAGTTAGGAGGGGCTGTTTCATTGAGAACTGTTGCACTGCAGCTGTCAGTAAAATCCAGGTTGTTTGTGGTTAAGTCATTGATCAGAAATGATTTATTTTTTAGTGGGCGAATGTTTAAAAATGCTAACTTGATGGCATTACTTTGTGTCTCAACAATTTTAGTTTGATGCATAATAGGCCACAGATTAGATGGGTCAGCCGTACGGCTTGAGAAGGCCTTAGACTTTCTATCACGTGATAAAACCGAAATGGAGAAAGCTAAAGGCACACTGGGTTCCCGCTTGTTATGTAAACATTTGTGAATGTTGCTGCTATCATAGCGGGGACCCGACACATATCACTGAGAGCTGTTATCAGTTGTTTTTGGTTCACCTACAGCAGATGGAGGGTTTGGGCCCTGGCATTGTGGCAGCGGCCGGAGACCTCTCACAGGAGGAGGACGACGAGCTGGGCCCACAGGCTTTGGTGGTTGGTGGCACCGGAAGCATTAGCTAGTGACAAAAGAAACCAAATCACTGTGACAATTAATTCAAAACCGTGAAAAAAGGAGACAGGACAACAGAAATTGAACTTAAACATTGCATTTCCCAGTAGGTGCCTCCTGGCATGGTAAACTAAAACCGTAGTGAAGGGAGGGGGATGCACTCTTTACAGTGGAGGGAAGAAGGGTAAGACTCTTGGTCATAAAAGTCCATGGAGGGGCCAGCAGTCGATGAGATAACCATGGAGCAGCTGGTGGAATAGCCCATGACAGAGCTGATGGAGGAAGGAGCCAGAGTGGAGGCTCAACAGTTTATCCAGGTGAAACCAAGGAATCGACTGACCAAAGTGGAGACCCAGGCAGAGCCAAAGACCGGGAAGATCAAGGCAGGTCCAGAACGACAAGAGAGCCCAGTTGAACCTGTAGGATGATGGACCTCAGTGGAGCCGATGGGCAAACAGACTACGGTGGAGCCAAGGAATCAATGCATCTAGGCCAAGCTGAGGACCAGGTGAAACCAATGGAAGGGAGAAGCCCGCAAACTGGATAGAACCAGCGAGGATAACGGGGCTTTGGATAACTTCCCATGATCGGGACACAGGAGGGGGTAGAATGGGTGAGTGGTCCATTCTAAGGTGTGTAAGTCCTTGACTGCTAGCTCTGTAACCACCAGATTTGGGAACTCGGGGACCAGAAGACTGAGGCGAAGGAGTTCTGGAAGTTCGGTAGTGGACTTTAGAGTTTCTGGGGAGGCTAGATTGATGAAAGCAGGGTCCTTCTCCACTTCACCAATGCTCTGGAAGGTAACAATCTATATTTAGAATCTGGGATACAAGAAGTACATATTTCTTGATACGAAAACTTGGGAAATGAGCAGCTGTGCCTACCTACTTCTAACTCGGATAAACTGTAGTAAAAGGTTTTGTTGCCTTTGCTCATGACCACTCTTCAAGCCCCAGTTAGCCCACTTTAGACCAAAGTATTCGGCAAGCTGAAAATCCTTGGCTGTTGGCCCCAAGAAAGCCCCAAGTAGGCACGATCAAGCCCCGGTAGTGATAGTGAAATCTCAACTGACCCTGGCACGCACTAGCACGCTGGCCTTTTGCCCGACAGTGGAAACATGGCTATTGGCATAATATACTGAACTCTGATGATAATGTTTCTCAGGGACAGCATATACTAGGAAAAAAGCAGAGGACCTAATACTGAGCCCTGTGGCACTCCATAATTGTGTTGGATAATACATCTATTTGTTTACACAATGTATCGGCAGTCAGATAGATTTGACCTAAGCCGTGCTAATGCTTATCAAGAAATAATACAAACCCGATTCCAAAAAAGTTGGGACACTGTACAAATTGTGAGTAAAAAAGGAATGGAATAATTTACAAATCTCATAAACTTATAATTTATTCACAATAGAATATAGATAACATATATCAAATGTTGAAAGACTCATGATTAGATGCCAAAAGAAGGTCTTGTATCACTTTTGAAGGGAGATAAAGAAAATCCCTTGTGTTTTTTATTTATATATATATATATATATATATATATATATATATATATATAATATATACACACACAAAATATCTCACAAAAG